CTAAAGTCCTCGTTAGGAGCCAGCCAGGGACCGCGGCGCGCGCGCCTTGGAGCCCATATCTCCGGAGCAGAGGCTGGCGGAGCTCTGTGGGTTCGAGGCCAGCCTGGTCGACAAAGCGAGTCCAGGGCATCCAGGGCCACACAGGGAAGCCCCGTCTCAGAAAACCAAGAAGAAGAAACAGGGCGTCCGGGGCGGGTCAGGCTAGGGGAGGGCTTGGAGAAAGCTTTGGTTCACGCAGTTCCCGGTGTGGGGGGGACTCCAGCCGGACCCCAGCCGCCTGGTCACCGCCTTTTCGCTGCTGTTACCGATGGTGGTGAAGGCGTCCGCGGTGCGGCCAGAGCACAGGGCCCTACCGAGGCAGGGGGATGTCTGCGTTTGAGGCCAGCTCGGTTTACGTAGAGCTCCGGACCACCTTAGCGAGACCGTTCCAAAAGTATTTAATAAAATACTTAATAAAGGAGGGAAGGAGCCGGGGGCGGGGCTCGGGGGCGTGTTGGCAATCACGAGCGTGGCTTTGGAGCTGGGATTTTCCTGGAGTGCTGATGAGCCGGGTTGGGGCTCCAGGCGGGAGCTCAGGCCCTGGAGGGAGCGTAGAGAAGCCACGGGCGTGGGACGGGCGGGTGGAGCTCCGCACCGCCTGGGGTCACACAGGACCAATGGTCCTTTCAGGTGGGCGGGCTGGAGCGAACGGCGGGTGCTGCACGTCTGTGATCCCGGCACCCAGGAGGCCGAGGCAGGATGGCTGGGAGCTTGAGGTCAGCTACATCGCTAGACCCTGTGGGTGGGGTCGGGGGGACGCGATCCCGAGTCTGAGGGCACCGGGCCTGCAGACCCGGTTCCTCCCGGAGTGGGGCGCAGCCTCGCTCTGCCCGCTGACCTCTCTCTCCCTCTCCTCCCTCGCAGCCGCCCAGGGCCTGCGGTGTGTGCAGTGCGGGAGCAACGAGAACTGCCGGGCGGAGGAGTGTGCGCCGGGGCAGGAGCTCTGCAGGACCACGGAGCTGCGGGAATGGGAAGGTGAGGTTGGTCCGCACGGCCTCACACCCCCCAACAGCTGACAAAGACAGCAGGCCGGAACAGGGCGGGTGTGAGGCCCGGAAGCCTGGACTGCGTTCCGGTATCCACAGGGGTTCGCACAGCCGGCCTGGAAGGCAGGGAGGAGCCCAGAGACGCGGGTACCGTGCACAGACAGGCACGCGGGCAAAACACTCATACACTGGACACAGAAAGGACCTTTAAAAATGTGGGCCAGACCCTGGAGCTAGGGAAAGATGGGCCACTCAGGGCACTGGTAATCTTTTTTGCTTTGTTTTGGGGTGGGCGGTGTGGGCTTGTTGTTTGGTCTTGGGTTTTTTTTTTTTTAAGCTTGCAGTGGTGACTTTGAACATCTCACCAACCTGCTGTACCTCCTGAGGGTTGGGGCTAGGGACGTGCACCGTCACACGTGACTTAATGTGTTTTTAAAACGGTCTTCAAAACCGTCTGAAGCTGGGTGACACACACCTTTGATCCCAGCACGTGGGGTGGAGGCAGAGGCAGAGGGATCTCTGTGAGTAAGGCCAGCCAGGACTACACAGAGAAACCCTGTCTCAGAAAACCAAAAATCCAACCAACCCAAAACAAGAGTCTATGTGAGACAGGGCTAGAGAGACAGCTGAGCAGGCTGCCAGGCCTGATAACCCGAGTTTGACCCCCTGAACCGTGGCTCCCAGCCATCTATACTGAGATCTGGCGCCCTCTTCTGACTGCAGGTGCACATGCAGGCAGAACACTGTACATAAAATAAATCTTAAAATGTACTTATTTATTTTTTTCTATTAAATGCACCTCCCTGCTGCTTTCATTCCCCTGGGGAGAGAGTTGTAGACGGATCCCTAAAATCCGAATCTGAGCACGGGGGAGGGGAAGACAGTTCTGGGAAAGAGCAGAGAGGGGCCGAAGGGATGGGCGACCCCGAGACTGGGGTTGCGGGCCACTAGGGAGGCTCTGGGGACTGAGGCTGCACTCCCACAGACGACGAGGAGCTGACAGTGGTGACCAGAGGCTGCACCCACAGGGAGAAGACCAACCGCACCATGAGCTACCGCGTGGGCTCCGCGATCGTCAGCCTGGCGGAGACGGTGTGTGCCGGGGACCTCTGCAACAGGCCCAGACCCAGTGAGTACCGGGGCGCCGATCCTGTCCCCACCAGGCCAGCAGAAAAGGGGCATCCTTCTGCGCAGCTCCCTGAGTGCTGGGATGAGAGCTTTGAGCTGCCACACCCAGCCCTCTCCTGATGGTAAAGATGGTGTAGGCTGCGGGCGCAGATACCGGTGTCTGGCCGTGGGGCTGGCCTGTTATCCCCACCACGCATGAGGTCAGCCCATGGCGACGCTGACTCAATAAAAACTAAGGACACCAGAGAGAAGGTTCTGGGGTGAGGGGGTTGTTGTTCAAGCCCAGGGGCCTGGGTTCAATCCCCGAGTCCCAAGTCAAGGTGGAAGGAGAGGACTGTCCTCTGATCACATACACCAACAGTAAAAATAGTCTTTAAAATTTAAATCTAAAAAGTATGCCCAGGGTGTGGCTCAGTGGCAGAGCCCCTGCCTAGAATCCCCCAGTGAGGGCCTGGGGTGTGGCTCAGTGGTGGAGCCCCTGCCTAGAATTCCCCAGTGAGGGCCTGGGGTGTGGCTCAGTGGTGGAGCCCCTGCCTAGAATTCCCCAGTGAGGGCCTGGGGTGTGGCTCAGTGGTAGAGCCCCTGCCTAGAATCCCCCAGTGAGGGCTGGGGTGTGGCTCGGTGGAGCCCCTGAGTAGGATCCCCCAGTGAGGGCTGGGGTGTGCTCAGTGTTGGCGATGGAGGCCAGAGCTTTGTGTGTGCTGGGCGGGCCCTCTGCCAGATGTACCCTTTACTGTTTATGCCTCCTGCGCACACACACTTTTGTTCTTCATAAATGGTTCTGCCCTCGGTTGGGGACAGGTTGGAGGGAAACTGGAGCCGGAGCGGGAGTGCTCACAGGGAGGTGAGGTTGTGTGCACTGGGCTGGTGGAGTCGCTTGGGCAGGTGAGGGCAGATGAGGTCTGTGAGGAGCTCGGAGCAGGGCACTCAGCCAAGGTCCACGGAGAGAGGAGCCAGGCACAGGCACTCATTGAAACTGAGGAGGGGATGCGGCGACAGGGCGGGCCCCAGGTCTGGAGGCTGTTTTAGCACGCGGCTCGCAGAGCTGGAGCACAGGCACCGAGCTGTGTGAGCGTGCCCCTGTGGGCGCACAGAGGCCAGCAGAAGAGGGCGGCTGTCCCACGTCACTCCCCGAGAGGATCTCCTCACGGCCGGGTCACACGCCTCTGAGGCTCTATGGAGCCAGCCTGGCGTGGCGACACACGTGTATGATCTCAGCCGGGGGGGGGGGGGGGGCAGCAGAAACCCCTTGTGAGACTGGGGACACACTTGTGGGTGAGCAATTTGGAAATAAAAAGGGACTAAGCAGATCCCCAGGTCACGTGCCCTGGAACGAAGAGTTCACAGAGAAGCACACTCCCTCTCACGCCCACGCCCGGGGTGTTGCACGGCCAGCTCGGCTGGCCTGGACACTCTGCCGTCACTTTTCTTTGAGACCCAGCCTCAGTGTGTGCCCAGGCTAGCCTGGTTGTGCCCTCCAGCCCCAGCCAGGGGTCCGGGTGTGCAGGGCCACGCCTGAGCAGGCTGCTCGTCCGGCGTTGCGGACGTGAGTGGGAAGAAGCGGGCCGAGCGCCTTTCAGGCATTTTCTTTGATGGAGTCGGGAGAGTTGGCTCTGGAGGGGATGACTCACCGATGGCTGCGGCTCACACTCGGCTCCAGCCGCCCGGGCACGAGAAGCTGAGCCGAGGCTGCCAAGCCCCGGGCACCCGGTGACACAGGGCGTCCAGAGTCGGGCAACCCTTCCAGCTGGCCGTGGGCACAAGCTTCGAGCAGAGTGCTCACGGAGCAGCCAAGGGAGGCCCGGACCTCCCGGTCATTCACCAGTGGGTGATAGTCGTGACTCCATGTACCCGATCCCAGAGGCAGAGGCAAGAATGTGTGGTTCTGCCAGACAGGTGGAGGTGCCGCCATGAGGCCCTGTGTCAGAAGGGGAGCGGCTGGCATGCCACTGGATAGTGGAGCCCCTGGTAGGCTACCTAGTGAGGGGCTGGGGTGTGGCTCAGTGGA